AATAAATAATAATAATAAAAAATAAAAAAAAGAAGAAGATAAAGTACAAACACAAACAGGCACTTGTACTAAATGTCTGGAGAAACACAACAGTCCAGTGCCAGGGTGAAGTAGGACAATAGTCCAGTGACAGACAACAGTCTAGTGCCAGGGTGAGATAGGACAATGCTCCAGTGACAGACAACAGTCCAGTGCCAGGGTGAGATAAGACAATGGTCCAGTGACAGACAACAGTCCAGTGACAGGGTAGGATAAGACCACAGTGCAGTGACAAGATGGGATAGGACAACAGTGCAGTAACAGGGTGAGGTAAGACAGTGATAGAGGACAGGGTTGGGCTACAATAACAGTAGTGACAGACAAGAGTGACAGTGAGAGATGATAACAGTAAAAGGGTGGGCTAGGACAACAGTGCGGTGACTGAGTGGGACAGGACAGTATGGTGACAGGGTAGGATCAGGAGAGAAGGCAACACTTGGATTTGGAGTAGCTATGAAGGGGGCAGCTGTGTGGGGACTGGAGATTTGGAAGAATGCCCCAGGTGGCAGGAGAGTTAATGCCCAGGCTGAGGTGGGAGTGGATGGTACGTGACTACTCTGCTGAACTCTTGGTGTCATTGCAAACTCAGCTCAAGCAGCTGCTTCCATTCTTACTGACATTCTCTGCAGTTCTCTCCTGCCTGTTCCCTGGCCCACCACTGGACACATGGCTTGTGACAAGTCCCCAGGCCCTTCTTCACTAACCTCTCAACCCACAGTCAAGAGAGAGGGAGAGTGGGCGGTGCCGTAAGAAGATCCTCAGAAACCCTAGATCTTTTTGAGGGCTAGAGAGGAGTTCTGCATCATGTTGGGGTGTAGACATTCAGGCAGCCACAGAGTTAACAGTGGCTAATAGCTGACCATGTTGTTATGTGCTCTTACCTGGCTATCCCGACAGCAGGTTTGCATGTAGCAGATTGCCCATGTTTCTCCAGAAGAATGGTTGGTGGATTCAAACCATCAGAGAAGCCTTTGGGTTAGCAGTATAACTCCCTACAGACTACACCATCAAACTCTACTACTAGTTTTATAGACTAAATTTTCCTGATATCTCAAAAATGGTTGTATTTGAAGCATATTAAACTTCTAGAGTTAATGCTTTTTTTTTTCCTTGTTGTGTACTGTCAAATCAGATCCGACTGGCACAGGAAGAGATTGTCCCTCCTTCTTCAGTGGAGCATCTGGTGGATTTGAACTACCTTTAGGACTGCAGTATAACTTCTTGCCACTAGGCCACCAGAGCTCCCTTCGAGTTAATGCTTTTGACATCCAGATCTTGACTGCCTTAAATGAGGGATGAATGTTTCATACCAGTATGAGCTATGTGAAATGGGTAGTAAGCCAACATGCTCCAGTCTGCAGAAATGAGTTCCTTTATGTGCCATTTTGCCTTGGCTTTCTGGAAAAACCACCTGAGAGATCTCCCTCTCAACCCCCCTTGGCCCTTGTGTTCTACCCTAGAGGGTTTGCTACACTTTGACCAGGCTGACTGACATTTTCTAGGTAAGCTGTAGACAGCTTGATAATTTTTGTCTGGTTCTGAGCTGCAGCCTTCCCTGTGAGTGCTTATGTATCTTTCAGAGCTTTCACAATAGATGATGCCCATTAGGTGAGCTGTAGTCTACCAAGAGGGGATTGCCTTAACATCTAGCCATTTGTAGATAAAAGCAGCCAGCCCAACAAAGGGTCTTCCAGGCAGAAACAAGAGAAGTAGTAGCAGGAAGATGTGGAAGAAAGAAAGAGGGGCAAAGACAGAAAAAGATGGGAAGGTAAGGAACATAAGGGGGAAAAAAAGCTATAACACTGGTTAAAAAAAAGCTATAACACTGGTTAAGGGCTGTAATGTTGAACGCTGCTGAGCAAGGCTCCGGAGTGTCTCAGTGGCACAGCTGGTGGTGACAGGTGGCAGGGCCAAGAGGAGGTCCTGAGAGAGCTGCTCTGTACGGAAGAAGGGAGGGTTTGCCTACATGCTTCCTGATCCTGAGTTGTACCGTGTGGTTTCCTTAATAAACCACTCAACTCTAAGTATGGCCTGTGAGTTCTGTGTAGTTGTTACAGTGGAATGGATTGTCAAATCCCGAAGAGAAGTAAAGCATGTGGGAGGGATGGATGGAATCAGAATTGGTAAAAATACTGGAGGTGGACAGACATCTGACCACTTCATGGGGACCAGCTTTGGGCTAATGGGGTTCACTCCTCTTGTGGATGGGTTCAGCTGCTGCCACAGCCACCACCATCACCAGCAGCACGCACTGTGGGAAGTGTGGGAAGTGCTATGCCAGGATCCCAAGAGGTAAGTGTGGCTGAGGCTTCAGAGTGGTGTGCACAGTCCTCGGGGACCCCATCAGGAGCTGAAATCTTATTTGTAGGGTGACAGGAAGTCATAGAGAAGTTATAAGTGCATTTAGATGAAGTAACCTGGTTCAACCATTAGTTAACATGATTTCTGTGGCTGCCATGTGGAAAAAGATGAAAAATAAAAAAGCTAGATGAGGGAATGCCATTTTTCTTGAAACATGCAAATGTGTTTTTAAAGTATTCATGAGTAGAGTATCTATCTAGTGGAGTATCTAGGTTAGTCCATCTTAACACTGTTAGGGGTTAGGAACATTTCTGAGACCCTCCTTTAGGCCAATATCCATAGGCATGCACACACATAATTTGGGAAGTATGACCCTCATTTGAGAGGTCACAGTCCCATTTTGGTCATCTCCACATCCCATCTTAAACACGTTACAGGTGCATCTCAGAGAAATGCTACCCTTACCACTGGAAGACACTGATCTCTTGGTTATCCACGACTAGCTGTCCATTCTTGCATTCCACTCGCCCCTTATATCTGCCGTGAGTGGAGTCATATTTAAACATGTACACCTGCAGGAAAGAGAGTGGCTCCTAGCAAAGCAGAGAGACTTCCCATGGAGGTGAAGGTAGGGGCCTCGCCCCCACCCCACTGCAGTCAGGAACCTCCTTCCATAGCTCTTACCTGAGCCACCTCTCTACCCTGGCCCCACCCCTCCTGTTCATACCCTTTTTGTTGCTCCTCACCATATATTCTGGGTCAATGAATGGATCATTCACCGCCACCACCTTAACACCCTTCTCCATGCAGGCTCGCAGCACCAGGCGACCAATACGTCCAAACCTGTCCGTGGACAAGAATTGTGAGGACTGTTGTCAGAATCCTTGTCCAGCAGTCAGAGGAGGAGATGGAGCAGGAGAGTGTGGAGCAGGGGGCCTGCTCAAGAAGAGTGGGTTGGGGTGCTCCATCTTGAGGAAGGAGGCCACTACTCCTGTGAGTTGCCTTCATCTCTTGTCCAGATGACCATCTCATCCTCACAACTGTTTTTTTCTGCTGCTCGGCCTATCCATTCTCTGCTTCCTGTTTTCCAACTTATTGCTAGCACTGCTGTCAAGTCCGAACCATCTCATAGCTGATCCTCTGGTGGGTTTCTGAGGCTGTAAATTTCACAGGAGTGGACATCTTTCTCCTGTGGAGCTGCTGGTGGTTTCAACTCACCAGAGAGGTGGGGCCTTAGGGCCAGCAGTGCAACTTCCTGTGGACTATGCCACCAGAGCTTCTTGTAGCTGGATCAGTCTTTTGAGAGAGCAAGTCAGATTGTCTCTTGGCTTGAAACCCCCATGTCTCGCTATCACTATACTAAGGTTCAAGCTCCCTCCCATGACCTACCCAACTGCTAGGCTCTCTCCCTCCCTCCATGTTCTTCACTATCCATAACTGGCCTTCTGACTTCTTGGACATACCTAGCTTGCCCCTTCCGCTGTAGAGCAGTTTCTCATCCCTCTGCCCACAAGACTCCCTAGCAAGCTGTATACAGTTGGCTGCCCGTTCCATTCAGATCTTGCAGTGTGATTTCTCTGAGGCAAGTCCAACCATCCCAAGTTTCCTCCTGTGAGATTTACTGCCTTTGAAACCCCCCCAGAGGGTCAACTGTAACAGGATTTTGATTCGATAGCACACAACAGTCTTATTGTATCCTTGAGTTCCTATCTATTCAGCACATACCACTGAACTATCTGGTTTATTTTATTATTGTTTTCCCCTCTTGCTATGTGCTTTTAGAGGCCCTATGTGCCATATTCCTTGTTATGTCCCTGGGCCAGTAGAATGAAGTCTCTCATGGGGAGAAACTTGGAGAGGCCCTTAGTGTTTAGCCAGATGAAGGGAGAGACCCTGAGGCTGTTCCAGAACAGCTCAGGAGCCTGGCAGAGACTTACCCATTGATGCCCACTGTCAACTCTGGGGCTGGCTTCTTAGGGGGTGGTTCTGGAGACGGAACCTTCTGAGGTGGTGGTGGATCATCTTCTATAGGCTGTGCTATTGGCTCTGGCTTTGGCTCGGGCTCAGGCTGGGGCTCTGGCTCAGGTGGGGGTGGTGGCCTGGTCACTGTGGATGCAGAGAGAAAGAGGAGTCAAGAAAAATGAACTGAGAGGGAAAGCAATCTAACTGCCACCCAGAACTTGGTGCTAGTTCTTGACCCTGAGTAATCAAAGCATTTTCTGCTGCCAGGGTCTTCTCCAAAGTGATAAAGAGCAAGAATGTCAGTGGTGTATGTGATCCAAAACAGGGACTTTTCAGTTGCTTCTGATGCATCTGAAACTGGACAATGAATAGAGAATATAGAAGAAGAATTGATGCCTTTGAACTGTGGTGTTAGAGAAAAGCACTAAATATTCCATGAACTGCCAAGAGAACAAGCATCTCTATCTTAGAGGAAGTGCAATGAGGGTGCTCCTTAGAGGCAAGGATGGTGAAACTTCATCTCAAATACTTTGGGCATGTTGTCAGAAGGTGACAGTCCTTCAAAAAAAGACATCATGCTGGGAAAAGTGGAAGATTGGAGAAAGAGAAGAAGACCATCAATCAGATGGGCTGACCCAGTGACTGGCAGTGGGCTCAAGCATATCAGAGACTGTGAGGATGGCACAGGTTAGGGCAAGATTCGTCAGGGTCACTATGAGTCATTGTCAACTGGGACATCACAGCAACAACCTGACCCAAAGAATGGGAAAGGAGAGGGATAAGCTTGTTCTAAAATAGCAGTGCTAGAACCCACTCCTCTAGAGATTCTGATCCAGTGAATATATACTTCTAACACTTGCTCTGAATGATACCTTCTTTACCTCCAGTTTTCTTCTCTGTAAAATGCAAACAGTACTGGGAACATTAGATGAAGTGACAAACATGACAGGATCTCTGGTGGCACAATGGTGAAGCCCTCAGTAGGTAGCCACAAAGGTAGGTGGTTCAAACCTACTCAGTGGAGTCCATGGAAGAAAGAGCTGGTGATCTACTCCCATAAAGATTATAATCTTGAAAACCCCAAAGAGCAGTTCTGCTCTGTGATACGAGGTCAATATGATTTAAAAAAAAAATCAACTTGACAGCACCTAATAACAATGATATACACGGTCCTTGTGATAGAGCAGGGAGTACTGGTGGCTTAATGGTTAAGAAGTTGCACTGCCAAACCAAAGGCAAGCTGTTCGAATTCACTAGTTACTTCTTGGGGGGGAGAGGGGATGGGTAACCAGTCTCCTCCTGTGCAATTTATAGCCTCTGCAGATCCACTAGGGGGTCAATCATGAGTTGGTTCCAGTTCGATGGCAATTCAATGTGTTGATTCCACAATACATTTTCATGATCATTTCCCAAACTTATCTGATAATTGCTGATCTAGTCTAGACCTCTAAACCAAACCTGTTCTTGTCAAATTGATTCCAGTTCATAGTGACCCTGCAGGACAGAATAGGGCCATCTGACAAGGAAGAGACTATCATATCTTTGTCTCACAGAGCAGCTGATGGAGTCAAACCACTGACCTTTCAGTTGGCATCCATTGGTTCCTAACTTGTCCTGATGATATCACCTGGGGAAGCCTCTTCTAGGGACATCTGATTCAGTAGAGAGCCGAGTACAGCAAACAATCCTTACTCTTAAGGAGTTTTAGGAAGTATCTTATCATAAGGGATCAATAAAAACTCACCCATAGCCTTTCCACACACATTCCCACATAGCACTTAAAAACATCTTTGCTTGGAGATAATGCTGCTACCTGAGCAACAGGTGAGGACTTACAAGGAGAAGGGGAGATGGGGTATTGAAGGAAGACTGATGGAGCAAAAACGGTGAGGGGACCTGGGCTGCAGAGGGTTCCAAGCCGGGAAATTGCGCCTGGATGCCAGCCCCAGTTCAGTCACTTGAGGCAATGTGGTCTTGCAAAGTTTATGAATCACTATGGTCTGGTTCCTGGGTGTCACATCTGACCCTCTACCTGGAAGCTGCTCTGATGACTCGTGTGACCTCAGGACGAAGAGGCTGTTGTTGTTTTTTTTTTTAAATTTAGGTTGTTTAGTTTTCATTTCAGTGAACATCTACAGAGATTTTGGGATTCCATTCATTCATTGTTGCACCCTTCTCCCCACACAAACCCCTCCCCCCTCCCCCCCCATTTGCTCCTCTCCTTGAAAAGCAAAAGAAAAACTCCCTCATTGGTACACAATCCCCCCCCCCCCCCTCCCCAAACCCCACCCCCTAGCCCCAAATATAATCCACTCTACAACCCTCATTGCATACTCCTACGATAAAAATAATGCCCTAAAATATAATACTTTTAGACTATTCTCTCCCCCATAGACTTCAATGCCGTAAACATATTTCATCCAGTTTTTCTCAGTCCCACCCCCACCCCAATGCCAGAAGAGGCTGTTTTCACTAGGTGAGGGGAAGCAGTCTGATACTGAGGGTTTTCATGGGCAAAGGGAGAGAGGATTCTGGCACCAGAAGTAAAATTCTGAGGAAGTGACTTGGTCTCGTGGGAGGTAAAGGTTGACCAGGGGATAGGGTCAGCTTCCTGTTGGACGTTTCCCTGCTGCCATAGACCTTGTGGCCAGAGGCTGACCTATGAATATTTCCAGTGGGGAGAATGGAGATTTTATAAAGATATTAGTTTTTGTTTATCGATGACATTGACCCTGTGGTTATTGGTGACTTTGAGGATATTTATGTTCCCACTATCATGAAAAAGGGAGATTTGTTTACCTGGGTTAGGAGTGGGGATCTCAGGCTACTCACCAACTTTTCAGAGAGAACCTGGATGATCCTCCTCTCCTTTTACCTCACAACCCCAGTCTTCTCTTGGGGTGTGTGTGTGTGTGTGTGTGTGTTGGGGTCCTGGTGGTAGTACATGAGCTGAAGGTCAGTTGCTGTGGACGGAGGGCAGGGAGGAGCTTTGGTGAGGAAGTGTCACCTGGGCATGAAGCAAGGGCACTATTTCCCAATGAGAAAGACACTCCCATTTCCTGGGTGCTGTCACGGGCCAGGTGCTACCCCCGAGCTCTTACACAGGATCATCTCACCGAATCCGGCGAGGTATGCGCTATATATTTACAGGGAGAGAGGGCAGAGAGGTCGCAGATGAGAATGATGTGCAAAGAATTCTGGTGGCCTGTGCGGTGGAGTCTTTCTGGGCCTCCTCACCAAAGGTCAAAGCCCTGGTCCCCTTCGGGCCTCACCTATCCCTGCGGGCCAGGCTTCCGGGCTGGCACCTGCCTTTGGGAAGAGAAGTTACAGCCAGAAACTGGGGAATTCCCTCCTAAGGCCTAGTTCCGCCAGCTGGTTGTGCGCGCGCACGTGGGTGGGTAAAGCAGGGCTGTCTAGTTTCTGGGAGTCCCAGCGCTGGACTCCCGGACTCGAGCATTGTATCACCGAGAGTCCCTGGTGAACGGCGAGGCATCGCTTGCCTCCGCCATCTACCGTATAAGACAGGGAAATACACACCCGACCTCACCTGGGGGCTGTGAAACTGTGATGAGCGCACCAAGGTTAGCTCGGCCAGGCAGGCAGGTTGCACGTGGCCGGCGCTGTGCGTCTGGAGAACAAAGCTTATCAACAGCCCAAGCAGCGCCCCCCAGCATATCACGCCAATTTTATACAAGAGCCCAGCTCCCCACAAGCCTCAGCCCTCATGAGTTCTCACAATCGTCCTTGCCACCCGGCTCTTCACAACACCCACTGGTTCCAGCCTCGGTCCTGGGCCTCTGCATCTCATCCTCCCCAAACGCACAAATAATCAAGGCCCACCCAGCGCTTAAGTGGAGGGTCCCGGTTCTCCCACCACGTGTGCGCGGTGGAGTCAGAATGCAAGCACGGCTGACCCAGTGGAGGCAGTAAATCGCACGGAAGGAGAGTGCCCGTCCTGCTCCCGCAGGAGCGGTTGTTAGATGAGAACTTCGGCCTTTAGGTGGCCAGCACAACTCCTTACCACTAGTCACCAGAGTTCTCCCACTACCGCCATCAAAATGACGTTGCTAGCCAACAGGAAGAGGTAGGCGAGAAAGGCCCCGCTGGAGGAGGGGGGAGACGGTTCCTGGGTGGAAGACCCCACGCAGGTTTGTCCCGGTGCCACTCCTGGGCCTCCCGCCGCCACCGATCATCCTGTGTGGGGCACGGGGGTGCCCCCGGCCACGCTCTTCCTTTCCCCAGAGACATTCCGCTGCTTCTCTCACCTGGGCATGGCTGGCGCAGCAACTGGACAACAGTGACGTTCGTAAGGACAATGTCGCGCTTAGACATGGCCCCCCAAAGTTGCACAGCTTAGCTGTCCTGGGATCCGACGACGTGATGTTACTGAGATGCCCGGCTCCTGTGGGTCTGAGGTGACCTGCTGTGATGTCACAGTGCCCAGTGATATCACAGGCGCTACAGCGAGCAGCCCCAGAGAGCACTGGGGTCGGGGGTAGGGTGGGGTGTCGTCAGGGGCCTTGTCTCCCCTCCCCCCAGACCTCTTCGTGGGAGGCTTACAGAATCCTTAGTCACGTTCAGTATCGATCCTAATCGTATGATAGGTAATAAATATAGTTGTGAATGATGTATGGAGCTCTGGTGCCATAGTGGTAAGGAACTCTGCTGCCAACCCAAAGGCATGTGGTTCAAATCCACCAGCGACTTCTTGGGAGAAAGATGGACAGTCTTACCTTGTGATTTACAGCCTTAGAAAACTCACTAGAGATTCTACTATGAGTTGCTTCCAATTTGATTTACATAAAAACAACACATGACTTACAGTATTTCTTAAACTAGACCAACACTAACAACAGAACTATCTTGTAAAACCTTTCTACACTGAGTTAAGCATTAGTCAGTATCTACATAGGGCTCGTCTTTGATTTTTCTTTTCCTTTAACTACTGTGCCAGTATTTAAACATTTAAACCACGATATAACAACTCATTGCCTCTCAAAGTAGAACCCACTTGTTGCTGACTCTCCATTGGGTTTTGAGCTGCCCAAGAGGTATAGCAGCTCAGCTGCCCACAAACTAGGCCACCAGAGCTCCCTTCACAAATACTAATTACCCCAGTATTGTAGCTGAAATACCAGAAAATTTGACCAAAATCAGCAATGAAAACAACAGAGCATGCTTGCAGCTCATGCAAATGAAACCTTATGATTCCAAGTTTCATTGAAATTGGACAATGACATCTATGACCAGGTCCCGTTAGAAGGTTTAAGATGTGAATTACCATAGAGGTTTACTTTTGTGTGGATACTGACAAGTGAAAACTGGGCTTACAAAAAAAATGTTTATTTTATATTATCCATTTTAACTCCCATGGTAGGGAGCTCTGGTGGCCTAGTGGCAAGAAGCTGTGCTGCAATCTTGAAGACACGTGGTTCGAATCCACCAGATGCTTTGCTGGAGGAGGAGGGGCAATCTTCTCCTGTGCCATTCGGATCTGATAAGAAACAAAAAGAAAAAGAATAAGGAAAAAAAATAAACCAAAAAAACTCAAAGCAACAAACTTGTGGAGCAGCTGGTAGATTCCATCTATGTGCCTTCAGCTTGGCAGCTCAACTGCTTACCACTAAGCAACCAAAGCTCCCTTATAACTAATTATTTTTGTTACAAAACCCAATACATTTCTGCTGAAACACTACACAACATTTCTATAGACATTTTGGTGTCATCTCTTCTAACAGTGGCAGCTAGTACAGCCTGAAACCCTGTAAGCCACTAATGACAGTACTGAGAGGGGCCATCACCCATCTCGCCCACATCTAGAATGTGAGGTTACATACTGGATACCAGGGCCACCCACTGGTGCCTGGAATAGAAGACAACTTTTTATCTTGGTACAAAACAAAACAAAACAAAACAACACACTCCCCTCCCACCCCCTTAGCACACCGATCCATGCTATTCCTTGACTTTCATGGGTGTTTGCTTCAGCTTTTTTTTGTGGGCCCAGAAGAATACCATCTCCAGTCTTGCTTTTGCTGCTCCTTGATGCTGCCCTGATGCCCCCCTTTAAGAGAGACCCTTTTGAAATTTCCATCTAAAATCCCTTCCTTTCTGGCACTATCTGCTGCCCAGTCTCGTCTTCCCCAGGAGGCTTCTCTAACATCCCTGTCCTGAATTGGCCTGGGGACCCCTCTTTTGTTCCAACGTGCAAGAGTACACTGTTGTTAGGTATCTTCTAGTTGACCTCAACTTCTAGTTACCCTATGACAACAGAACAAGACCCTGCCTAATCTTGTACCCTCCCTACAATCTCTGCTCTGTTTAAGGCTTTTATCTCAGCTACTGTGTCAGTGCATCTCACTGAGGGTCTTCCTCTCCTTCATCTCCATCATTGACTCTTTACTTTTCCAAGCCTGGAAAAGGACTTTTCCTGAGGACTAACACTGCCTGACAATATGCTTAAAGGATATGAGACGAAGTTTCAGCATCATTGCTTCCAAGGAGCACCCTGGTTGTGTTTCTTCCAAGACAGACTTCTTCGTTCTTTTGGCAGCTCATCGTAAATGTAATATTCCTTGCTGACATCACATTTCAAAATCCATCAGTTAGTTCTTCTTCATTATCCAACTGTCACATGCATATGAGGCAACTGAAAATACCCTGACTTGGGACAAGCACACCTTAGTCCTTAAAGTGGCATCCTTATTCCTTAGCACTTTAAAGAGATTTGTCCTGTGTCATATGTCCTCTGTCTTCTTGACTGCTGCTTCTATGGGTGCTGACTGTGAATTCTAGTAAAATGAAATCTTGAACAACTTCAATATTTTCCCCACTAATTATTATGTTGCTTATTGGTCAAGTTGTGTGGATTTTAATTTTAAGGTGTAATCCACACTGAAGACTAGAGTCTTTGAGCTACATACAATATGTGCTTTACGTATTCTTTGCACTCTGAAATCCAGGTTGTGCTATGTGCATATCACAGTTGTTGTTGAGTCTTCTTCTGGTCTTGATACTACATTCTTCTTTATTTAAACCAGCTTCTCAATGTTATTTGCTCAGCATAGAGATTGATTATGTATGATGAAAGGAGACAACGCTGACACACACTTTTCCTGGTTTTAAACCATCAGTCAGTGTTCCCTTGATCTCTTAAATGACTTCTTGGTGCATGCAAAATTTCCTCATGAGCACAGTTAAGTGTCTGGGATTCCTATTCTTCTCACTGTTAGTTATAATTTATTTTAATCTACATAGCCACATGCCTTTGTGTAGGCAATACAGCACAAGTAAGCATCTTTGTGGAATCCTCTGCTCTAAGCCATGATGCATCAGACATCATCAATGACAACCCTTGTTCCACAGCCTCTTCTGAATCCAGCCTGAATTTCTTGCAGTTCCCTGTTAATGTTCTACTTGAACTGTTTTTGAATAATTGTAAGAACGATTTCACTTGAGTGTTATGTTAATGGTACTGTTTGACAATTCCACATTCTGTTAGATCACCTTTTTTTTTTTTTGGCATGAGCTCAAATTTGATCTCTTCCAGTTGTTGTTGTTGTTATGTGCCATCGAGTCGCTTGCAACTCATAGCGACTCTATGTACAAGAGCTCTAAATGCTGTTCTATCCTGTGCCAACCTAGCTATCTCAAACACACTTATTCCCACCGCTCCAGTCACAGAATCGATCCATCTCGTCAAAGGTCTTCCTCTCCTTCGCCGCCCCTCCACTCTGCCAAACATGATGTCCCTCTCCAAGGACCAGTCCCTCCTTGCAATATGCCCAAAATATGTCAGATGAAGCTTCAGAATCCTTAACTCCAGGGAACAGTAGCTTTGCCAAATAGCTAGCCTTCCCTTTCAAACTTGTTGGCATACAGAATGGACATACTCACCTGAGCACGTCCAGGGCTATATATGTTTTGAAACATCTCAGTTGGTATACCATGAGTCCCTGGAGCCCACCTCACTTTTTTTTTGCAAATGTCTTCAGTGCTGCTGGACATTTCCTTCAATGCCGTTGGTTCTTGATTATATGCTACCTCCTGAAATGGCTCAGTGTTGGCCAGCTCTTTTTGGTACAGTGAATCTGTGTCATCATTTTTTGGTGCTTCCTGTGCCATTTACTATTTTGACCATAGAATCCTTCAGTACAGGAATTCAAGGCTTGTTCCCCGCCCAGTTCTCTAGCTTGATGTTGCGCATGTTCTTCTCTTGATTTTCTGACTCCAGGTCTTTTTGCATTTTATGGTAGTTCTTTGCTGCTTTGTCTTCTTCAGTTGGCCTTTGAAAGTTTCTGTTCAGTTTTTTAATTTCATTATTTATCCCCCTTTTGCTTTAGTTTCTCCACTTTAAAGAGCAAGTTTCTGAGTTTCTTCTGACATTCATTTTGATATTTTCTCTCTTAGAAAGAAAAATGCTGTCTTTTAAATGAGCTTTTGCTTTCTTTATGGATGATGTCCTTGCACAATTCATCTAGTCATTACTGTTCAGTGAATCAAATCTTTTTTTTTTAGGTGGTCTCTAAATTCAGGTGGGCTTTATTTAGACCAATTTTCCCTTTCTTGGACTTGTCTTAATTTTCTTTGGCTTCATTTGAACTATCATATGAGCAATTGATGGTCAGCCTGGTCTTGTTTTGATTGATAATATTGACCTTTTCCACCATCTCTTTGAATAGATGTAGTCACCTTGATTCTTGAGTATTTCATTTGCAGTCCATGTGTATAGTCACCATTTGTGTTATTTTTCAAAAAAGGTTTTTCGAATGAATAAATCTTTGTACAAAAATCTATTTTGTGATCTCTGACCTTATTTCCATCACTCAGGTCATGTTTTCTGACTATCAGTCCTTCTTTGTTCCAACTTTGACATTCTGATTATTAATTAATTATTAATAATGCATCTTCACTATATATTCTATCAGTTTCACACTGCAGAAGTTGATGTTCTTGTTGTTGTGTGCTGTTGAGTTAGAACCAGTGGGTTTTCCAGAGGTAGTAAACTGCTTGGGAGGAGATTGCCCATCTTTCTCCCATGGAACAGCTGGAGGATTTGAACTGTGTGCCTTTTGGATTGCAGTACAACATCCTACCATTAGGCCGCCAGAGCTCCCTACAGAAGTTGATAGACATGTTAAATTTCTTCATCTTTGCTCTAGTGGTTGGTAAGTCAATTTGAATAATAGACATATGAACAGATCTTCCTTTTATGTGTATGGGTATTGACTGAATTGTCTTGAAACGTTCTCTTTAATGATGAATTTGACATAATTTCTCTTCAGTTTGCCATTCCTGGCATAGTAGGAGAGATGGTTTTCTGATTCACAGTGGCCAAACCCAGTCCATTTCAGCTCAGCCAAGGACAAAGAGCTCTTGTGGCTTAATGGTGAGGAATTGTATTGCCGACTCCATGGTACATGATTCTAATCCACCAACTGCTCTGCGGAACAAAGATGGGAGTCTTCTCCCATGTGATTTGTTGCCTCTGAAAACCCTCTGGAGGGTCAGCCATGAGTTGATTCTAATTGAGCAATAACAACAACAACGCCTAGGACATTGATCTTTGTGCATTCCATTTAATTTATCAAAACTTGCAACTTTCCTGAATTCATAATGTCCATTTCTAGTAATTATTAATAGAGTAATAAAACGCCCCCCACAACCAAAAAAAACAATAGCAAACTCTAGAGGTTTAAAAAAAATTCATTATTATTTAAAAATTGTGAGCGCAAATAGGCTTTCCATCCAACAATTAATACACATTTTGTTTTATAGCCTTAATTACAACATCCTCAGTGTAAGCACACTCTTCCCTCTTCCTCTCTCATTCTCATGTCTTTAGTCTACGATTTTTATACTTCCCATGGTATATGTATCTCTCTAAAATCATCTTGCTTAATTACTTCTCTGCTTGCCAACTATCCCTGTAAGCTCTTTAAGCTCTTGTCAGCTTGATAACTTTTGTATCTCAGTAACTGTAAGAGTGCTTGGCACTTAAAAAGGTGCTGACTAAAAAAAATAATACTTGAGTGACTGAATAAATGTCACCAGGTTTCTTCTGCTCACCAGCCTTAAAGCAATCCCAAGGCATAGCCTCTCATGGTGCCCTTTTCATTGCAACTTGACATGATCTAGTCGTCGGTTTATGTGCTTAGTGTTTCCCATATTGGGTTCCAAGTTCCTCACAGGACATAAATTCTTTTCTTTCCTACATTTTGCCTTCAGCATCTAGAACAGTGTCTAGCACAAAGCAGGCTCTCAGATATCTGCTGTAGTGTGCCATTGAGTCGATTCCAACTTCCAGCTACACTGAGATGGAGAACTGCCCTAAAGGGTTTCCAAGGCTGTTATCTTTACAGAAGCACACTGCCGTAGAGCCAACTCTTCCTCCCCTGGAGCAGCTGCTGGAATTGAACTGCCGACCTTTTGGCTAGCAGCTGGATACTTAACCACCGAGGGCTCCTCCATAAGCATTTAGAGAAGAACACATGGACAGTTAGCTCCCCTCTCCTACAGCCTAGTGGGTGGTGCCTTGCTTTGCACATCTGTGACTCAGCCAAGCACCCTTGCCTGTGGGGCTGGTTGACACGCAGCTCTGACCAAAACGTAGAGGCGTGAGGGTTCGGGTCAGGAAGGAGTCATCATCCCAGAGCAACGGGTAGAAGCAAGAGGGACAGAATGATGTAACCTCTCCCATAACCTTCTCCTTCCCCAAAATCTGTATGAGAACTTAGTTTACCAAGCACCTGCTTTGAGATGAGAAGGGTGAGGCTCTCCCTGCTGGATGACTTGGGAGAGGTGGGATTGAAAAGACATTGGGTGTTCAGATGGGGAGGTTGAAAAGAACCAAGATCAAATGACAGAGAATTAGTTACAAAACAAAGAAAAGAAAGGTACAAACTCTTAACGTAAACAGTCAAGGGAGGGTAAACAAAATCAAGATGAAAAAGAGCTGATCTTGTACAAATTCGCCATTATAGAAGAATGTAGGTGAAAGTGAAAATTTTCTTAAAAACCATCAAGGTTTCAGGAAGAAATAGCAAACTTGACTAAACAAATAATAAAAGAAGGGAGCTCTGGAGGCTTAATGGTGAGGAGCTTTGCTGCCAGTCCAAAGGCATGCTGTTCGAATCCACCAGCAGATCCGTGGGGAAAAGGTGGGAAATCTCCTCCAATCATTTTCGGCTTCTGAAAACCTGCTAGAGGGTCAGCTGAGTCAGTTCTGATGTAATAACACATAACAACAACAGTAATGAGAGAAGAAACAGAGTTACAATCGATCTTCTTAAAGGTTTCTGATCCAGGTGGCCTTGGGGGCAAGATCTAAGTCACACTGGAGGACACTTCTCCATCTTTGCCCTAAGGAACAGCTGGTGGATCCACCCCAAAGCACAACTCCTTATCATCAAACCAACAAGGAACAGCTAGTTGTCATCATGCACTACTGCTGAGTGGTAGCCCAGGGCCTGAGCCCGTGCCGAAAAGTTCTTCTGCTCAGCAGAGTCGCGATGTGTACTTAAACCTAATCCTTCTTTGCTGTGCTTTGGGGAAGTTCTGTGATGGCTCAGTACTGAAACGCCTTCAGTTCACTCTAAGACATCAGCAACATCAGCACAACCACGTTCTCCAAGACTGCATGACAAGATGGTATAGGGAAGGACTTCTTCAGGCCAGTCTCAGTTCTGAAGAAAGATACCAGTGTAGACTGAATCAAAGATTATTGTTGTGTACCACTGAATCAGAACTGACCCATCACTGACCCTCCAGCTGGCTTTCAGAAGCAGTTAATCATATAGGAGATTGCCCATCTTTCCCCTGTGGAACAGGTGGTGGATTTGAACGATGTACCTTTGCCAGCGCAACTCTTTACCACTAAGCTACCAGGATCAAAGATTAGCGAATTGAAATGGGGAGGCTGAGAGACAGGGGTTGAGGCTGACACAAGGTGGAAGGAAGAGGCAGAGAGAGGGATGCAAAACAAAAGATGGAGTCCATTTCAAAAGGAGAACCCCCATCTTCCAGTCTCAGGGCGGGTTAGGATTTTCAAGCCCACACCCACTCATCCCCACCCAGTAATCTCCTGGCACGGGAAACACCCTCATTTAGGCACTGGACAAGGGCAGAAAGACCACACCTGAGGTTGCCTAGGGATCTGGCTTTGTCCCTGGTGCCTGAAACTGGGAACCAGTGGTGATGAGCTCAAGCTTATAGAGGCAACATAATTAGTCATCTTCTGTAGCCAGGGTCTGGTGAAGGAAGAGGCTCCTGGGTCTCTGGGTCTGGGATGTTTCATTTCGCACAGAACTAAGTGGCCAGGATATGGGGTGCAACCGTGGTATCCTATAAGTGGGCCTGGTTGCTCTTGTTTGCAAACTCTGAAAACATGTGCAGATTTGCACCACACCTGCGCAGCTACACACATAGCTATGCCACCCCCACTTGTTCACACCCTGTGCATTCCTCTCTGCCTGGTCTTCCCACCAGCAAACCCACCCCACTCCCTCTTTCAGTCGCTCCCCTTGGCACCAAAACCACATATCTTTCACCTCTGGACCCAACTGCACCCACCCCCAGGCTCTTGTTCTTCTGCCCTCAGCCTCTTTCCAAACTTGGTCCCAGGTAGATACTACTCTACCTCTACCAAATCTTGTCTTCCAATGACTCCTATCATCTTCTGGGCCAGATGTGCAGCTGTTTTCCCTTCTAAACTGTGCCAGTGTGACGACACTTGGGGTTTCAGATTGAGACATCCTTGGTCCCAAAGAGAGGGGCAGGGCAGGAAGGAAGAGGTGAGCAGGTGACTGCAGCCCTAGGTCTTCAGCCCCTCCCCATGGCTGCCTCAACCGGCTTTTCTGGAGACACTGCGTCCTGTTCCAGCTCATGGCAATCGGCCCCCTGCCCTTGCCCAAGGGCTGGGAGGCAGGAGCCCTGGATTCCATGATGAGAGGAAGATGCTTGCTCCAAAATCTGCAACCCTCTCCTAAAGGACCTTATGCTGTTTCGGGGAACCAGGCAGCCTTCCTTCCAGCAACCCATGAGACTAACTCAGGCTTGTCTTCTTTTCCTTTCTTTTAATTTGCTCATTCTAGACATTTTTACTGAACCCCTAGGAGCTGGAGATCAACAGAGACAAAAGGCTCTTCCTCAGAAGGTTTACAATTCAGTAGGTGGGATGGACATAAAATACAAAGTTAGTTTCAGAGGGTAATCCACCGCTGTCTAGTGAGTTCCAAATCCCTGTGATCTTCCAGGGGTATCGGAGGCTAAGTCTTTATGAGAGGAGACTGCCCACCTTTCCCCTTTGGAGTGGCTTGTGGATTTGAGCTTTCAGCCTTTAAAGTACACTATGCACTATGCTACCAGGGTGCCTTCACATGGTGATCAGTGCTAGGAAAACAGAAGGGTGATATTGCAGGGTATAATGGAGGGGTGGGTCATCAGAGAAGGTTTATTTTGGCCCAAAACCAAAGTGAGAAGGAGCCAGTTATATCCAAATATGGGCTGTGCATTCCAGGTGGAGAGAATGGTAAGGACAAAGGAATGACGGTGAAGCAGGAGCGAGCCTGGGTCTATGGGATAGACAGAAATGACAAGCATGGCCAGTGATACATGTGGGAGGGGATGTGTGAACATGAATGAGAAAAGATCGGCTGATCTTCAATTCCCCTACAATAACCTACTACCCTTCTCCCCCTAGACGCTTAGCGGTGGGAAACTGGGTGTCTAGATTCCTTGAAAAGACATGCATTAGAGAACCAGGCTTCGGCTACCTGCCAAAAGGTTTGAGCCCACCCCTGACTTTCCAGGGGTGTTCTCCTCCCCTTTTTCTTTTTCTCTTTAACTCTTCCATGTGACTTATCTCTACCTATCTTTTACCCAGCATACCTCCTTTGCATTACCTTAATAAGCCCTTTCAACTTGTTTTGTAGCTACCCCCCCAAAAAAAACCAAAACAAACCAGGTCTTGGTTCTAGAACCAGACGGAGATTGAAGGTGCAATTGAGAGAGAGAGGAGGCCTGGCTAGTAGGTGAGGAATGAAAAGAGGAGGTGGTAGGAAGGGCAGACATCTAGGCTCTGGGGTGGAGGACTCGAGCTGGGCACGGAGCAAAGATGCTAAGGTTCTCCATTCATGACTCACTGTCTCCTCCTCCTCTCCATTGCTCAATCCCAAATCTCCCTGGGAAATGCCTTCTTGACTGGAGACCAAGTCAGTGCCTCATAGAGGTAATTGAGTCATGAGGGGTGGAGAAGAGAGCCAGAGGATAAATAGGAGCTGTGCTGTTCCGGCTCCTCTCTGAAGCCTTCTCACCTTTCCAACATGCATCTTACCATTTTTGTCAGATCCTGCTTCCTCCTACTGCTATTGGGGGCCCTTCCTGGATGGGCAGCCAGTAATGACCCCCTTGAGAAGGTCATTGATGGGATCAACCGAGGCCTGAGCAATGCAGAGAGAGAGGTGGACAAAGCCCTAGAAGGCATCAACCAAGGAATCACTAAAGCTGGAAGGGAAATGGAAAAAGTTTTTCATGGACTTAGTAACATGGGCACCCATGCCAGCAAGGAGATTGACAAAGGTCTCCATGGGCTCAACAACGGCTTGGACAAGATAGCCCATGATGTCAACAGTGGCGTCGGAGAAGCAGGAAAAGAAGCAGAGAAGTTTGTCCATGGGGCCAACAACGCTGCTGGACAGGTTGGGAAGGAGGCAGCCGAAGTGACCCACGGGGCCCATCATGGGATCAACCAGGCGGGAAGTGAAGCAGGGAGGTTTGGCCAGGGGGCCCATCATGCCTTAGGACAGGCAGGGAGTGAGGCTGGGAGGCTTGGCCAGGGCGCCCACCATGTCTTAGGACAGGCAGGGAGTGAGGCTGAGAGGCTTGGCCAGGGGGCCCACCATGCCTTAGGACAGGCAGGGAGTGAGGCTGGGAGGCTTGGCCAGGGGGCCCACCATGCCTTAGGACAGGCAGGGGGTGAGGCTGGGAGGTTTGGTCAGGGGGCTCATCATGCCTTAGGACAGGCAGGGAGTGAGGCTGGGAGGTTTGGCCAGGGGGCCCACCATACCTTAGGACAGGCAGGGAGTGAGGCTGGGAGGTTTGGTCAGGGGGCTCATCATGTCTTAGGACAGGCAGGGAATGAGGCAGGGAGGCTTGGCGAGGGGGCCCACCATGTCTTAGGGCAGGCTGGAAATGAGGCAGGGAGGCTTGGCCAGGGGGCCCATCATGCTTTAGGACAGGCAGGGAGTGAGGCA